TTGATAATAGTGTAAATAGTGAGTACGGTTGAATTGTATGCGATGTCTCGTGCATGATTGTAGGTTTATCTTAACTTTGAATATGAAATCGTGATAGTATTCCTATGTGCATGACTGATTTGATTATGGAATTGGTTGTTTTAATTACGCCATTAGAAGTGAAAAGAGAAAAAAAAAGAAAAACAAAACGGGACGTTACATTTTTGGTGCATGGAGAATGATTCCAGTACTGATATTTATCCATGTAAGTGGGAGGAAGGCACTAGACTTACCACTACTATGAGGAATTTTAATAATTTTACTCGAGACTGGCAGTTTAGGGACCTACTTTCTAATGCTTGTTTTACATGTTTGCAAATAGAGGTAGGATTATGTCTTTTTGATTAGACCAGTTCTTAGCGTCTAATGGTTGGGAGCATATTCTTGACTTAGTGCAAGAAGTCCTTCCTTGTCATTATGGTGTTAGGGTGGTTGAGATGGGATACTACTCCACCTCAGTTTGAGAATATGTCGTTGCACCTTTTAAGGGTGACATCTATGAGTGGTGGAATGAGATTGAGATGGATGGATGGGAGAATTTTTTATTTATGAACAATCTCTAATACCTGAGAGGTAAATTAAAGGTTTGGAATTAGGTATTCTGGGATATTGGAATCAAGAAGAAAGATATTCTCGATGAATATATTTACTCTATAAAATTGAAATATAATCATCCATAAAAGTTTTGAATTGCTTGAACTGTCAAAAATGAATTACTTGTATGGAAAATGATAAGCAAAAAGAACAAAAAATTCAGACTAGTTCTTCTTACTATTTTATGAGATATTTGGAAAGAAAAGAACAATAAAGCTTTTAAGAGAAAGAAGACAACTTTAGCAATATTTTGAATAAAGTTGGTTTCATATTTTTGACTTCATTGTACTAGAACATAGCATCATCCATTATGACGATTTAGGGTCAATTGTAAATATGTTAATTGACTTATAAATATTTTTGTACATAAGGTGGTGCCCTATTTCAATATATTACTACACTTTTATCTAAAACTAAATAAAACTAAAAACCCATTTTGTATGCACGATGGTATGTAAAAATCGCTTGTAAACTTAAATTGTGATCACATTTTGCAAAAATATACCTAAAAATAAGATACTAACAATACACTCGTCATATACAAATTGCTAATCATCATCCAATTTTGTTTTAAGTAAAAAGTATAGTATGTATTATTTATTACAATCACCAAAAAGATGCCAACTCATGTACAAAATTATTTACATATTAACCAACATATCGATAATCTTACCTAAATCCTCCATAGAGTACAAAGATTGACTGATAAGCAAAAAACCTAGGGTCTTGATCCATCTAACTCTACCCCTATCGAGATTTTCTTTCATTCCTTCAAAAGTTCTTCTGTTTCTTTCTTTCCACACTACCAAAAAAATTAATAAGCGAGTTTGCAGAACATAAGAATGAAACCCTAACATTTAAAATGTTGATTTATGTTTTTAATTAAAATAGACATAAATATTTAGTAGATAAACAAACATTCTGGCGAGTTTTCAATTCAAAAAGTGTTAGGCTCAAATTCAATATGCGTTTGATTATTTGGATTTTAACTAAACTGAGCTAGAACTAAGCTTTGATAAGCCAAGCCCGACATGTTTGATATTCAGCTGGCTCATCCTCATTTCTACTTAAAAAGCACTGTCAATACCTGGCTTATCTCACTTTTGAGATCAACTTAGTTTTCTCAATAGAAGTTCTTTCCAAATGATACTTTTCTGTATTGATGTTCCACTTTTATTAAAAATGAACTATACAAAACAAATTATGAGAAGTCACCACCACTCCAGATCATGGTGGATTTAGGACA